TCAAGGCTGGAGCTGGAACTGGAGCATTTTAATCCTGATTTCAGCTCTGACAGGAAGACAGTGTGATTCCACAGGCACATGAGCCCTCCTGTGAGCACTGGCTTCTGAGTCGTGCTCAGGCACCAGCAGGTCATGCCCAGGCTCCAGGTGGGAGCCAGGTCCTGGGGACTGGTGTGGCAACGGGGCTCACAACCATGGAGCAGATGAAAGGCCAGGCTGCCCATCTTGTAGTGCACTTAACGGCTGATACCACTCTGGCTCTGGCCTGAGTACCACCCTCTCGGGGTCAAGATGAACTGGGCACAAGGCCACTCTCTTATCTGATTCTCATCAGATGTACATGTCTGAGGCTGAGCCCTGTAACCCTCACAGCCTGGGCCAGGTCACTGCGTGGACTTAGACGTGCAAGTGACACTGGGTCACACTCTGACAGGGAAGATACCAGGGAGCTCCCCGAGCCTGTGTGACAAACAGGATCATGGCACTTCAGAGTGGACAAGTCTAAGGAATGTAGGGAAAATTATCCTGCTGGGGACTGTGGCTCTAACAAAGGCCCCAGGGGAGGGATTCTAAAATGGCATGATCAACCTCAAAAGGACAAGAGCTTGGAAACTTAGTTCCCATCAAAACCCCGCCATGGATGAAGCAACCATGAGCTTACTGAAACTTTTAGATGGGGGAGAAAAAAAATTTTTTTTCTCATCTGGAATATTTTGGGATGATGGATTCCCTTATTTCTCAGTGAAAAGCAGTACTTCCCTAAGTTTTTCAAATTTAAGCTTCGAGGTTTCCTCTAGCTGTAGGAAGATGGGGCTTTTTTGTTGTTGTTGTTTGTTTGTACTTTTTATCAAGTCTTCAAAGATTTTAGTGACTCTGGGCAGAGCTTCTCAGAGACTATTTCCCCCTGGTGGGATCCTCTTTATGTATCTCTTTTCCTGCAGCTGTACCTTCCATCACATCAAATGTTTCATGGACTCTGGTGGCTGAAAAAATTCCCAGAGTGGAAGAGCCTTGGTCCTGTACACAAGCTGGGGTGTTTTCTCTAGCAGCCTTTGGGAGGGGTGACAGAATCCCTCATCCTCAGTGACTCTCATTCTCTTGGCAGGTGTCTGCCAGATCAGAGTGATGAAACAATCGATCACCAAAGTCTAGTTACTTTCCTATAATTTACACTTGCCCACACTAATAACAACAACAATAATAAATAACTGGCATTTACTGAATGCTTATTATGTGGCAGGCACTGTTCCAGGGTCTTTACGTTGACAAACTCATTTATTATCCCTAATAACCGAATGAGGTACAGTGTGCATTTTTGCACGTTATAGGTCACCTTCTCCATTTCACAAATTAGGAAATAGAGATTTATCGAGGTCAACTAATTTGCCCCACGCTAAAGTCAGTTAAGGAAGAGGGCCTGCCTTTCTCAAGTGCCGGCCGAGGGGGAGGGTGTGGGAGCATCTGTCAGGGAGGGAGAGGTATTGTGTCACTGACATTGTTTGGAATTGTCAGGCTGACTTTTATTCCATTTAAGTACTGTTTTTAAATTCTCAAATGCACCACCTTCTGTTTGTGTCCCCTTCATATGACCTTATGTGATTTGATTCTGACTCCCCAAAATCCGATGAGTCCTGGGGTCTATTTTCATCAACTTTGTTATGTTACTCTGCCCGGGACATCAGCAAAATTTAAGTTGTTACTGGGCAAGTTCAGATGAAGAACGGAAGTAGGGGGAAAGCCAGTATGACTTCTGGAACCCAACTTAAACTTAAACTCCACCTCCTCCAGGAAGCCCTCCCTAATTTCCCTGCTCTTCCTCTGGCATCCTCTCCTGAGCCATGGTGGGGAGGGCCACCCAGCTGCTTTTACATCTGACCTTTGAAGGCCTTCATTGCTCACTTGTACATAGCAATGACTATTTCACCCCAAACATTTCCACTTGGCAAACACATGCCCGGAGCTAGCCACAAAGCCCAGCTTCCCCGGCCCCACTGCTCCAGCCCCTTCCCCTTAGTGTAAAGTATGGAGGCAAAGGTGATGAGCCCGTGGTGCGAGGCAGGGCAGGCTGGGAGGGTGGAGGGAAGGGGGTGGAGGCAGAAGACACACTTTATCAGTGTGTCTGAACACAAACCCAAGAGCTGGTTGAGCTGGATGAGTTCACCCAGGGGTCACATGCCTTCTCACAGGAAGAGGTGAAATGTACTGCTCCAGGCAGTTCACAGTTAAGTCCGCAGTTCAATCTAAGCTGGGTGCACGTTTTGTTTTGTTCTGCTTTGTTTTTTTCCCCAAGCCCAAATCCCCTCTTTTGATTCATGCATGGGTTTTGGGTTGCAGCCAGACTACAGATGGCGGGGCAGGGGGGAGACTTCTATGCCCTATAAAAGAGGATCAGAGGTCACTGGCCCAGCCCAGAAAGGGCGGTCATTTCCTTTCAGCCTCCTACCCTCTGGGCTTGAAGCACATCCTTGCAGTCTGAATCTGATGGCTGAGACAGGTCCCTCACGACTGCAATCATTCCAGACCCCTCACTCCTGTGGTGCCGGCACAAACTATGTGCTCAGTAAAGAGCTGTCTGAATGAAGGAATGAACCAAGTATGCCCTCTAACCTGATGACGAGGGCCCCTCTGCCCCAGTTAGATGGGTCTCCTGGCAGGGCCTTTGAGTTTGACCCAACCCTTCCCCAGCACTGGGCTATTCTCCAGCCAAGAGCTCCAAGGTCGTGTTTTGAGAGATGGGGCAGGAGGGGGAGCCTGGGGGTTTAGGAGAACCACCCTGGGCTGGCAGGCCAGCTGGCCTGGGCCTTGCCTATAGGAGCTGAAAAGTGAGCTCTAACTCAGACCCTCCTCCATTCTGCTTCCCAGGCCTTGGGGCTCCCAAGTTTCCTGGTAGAACTCTTCACCTCTTCCTGTAACCAAGCAGGATTCCATGGGGGCTTCCCAGGACAGACTCCTCTCCCCATGTCCTCTGCCTGTCTCTTGTTTGTAGAAAAGCTTTCATCTCCCACACCTCCCCTGAGTCACAAAAGTCTGGATCAGGAATTAATGCAAAAATAGCAGTTGGGCCAGGAGAACTGGTAAGAATTTAAATAGTAAATCAGCCATACTGCAGTCACAGAATGTTATTTCCTCCCTGAAATACCTAGATAGCAGTATCTGATGCACATTTCCTGAGTTGTTTTACAGTTGCTAAAACCCCCAGAAAATGGAAGAAGTTACGTACTGGATGACCATGAGTATGCAGCTCCCAGACCTACTGGAGCCTGAGGATTGGTGATGTTAACCCCTGTGACACCATCCTGTTACCTCACCATCAACCAATCAGAGAAATGTGCACCCGCTGTTCACATACCCTGTGACTCCCCTCCCTCACCTTGCCTTTAAAAATGCTTCCCTGAAACCTATTGGGGAGTTTGGTTCTTTTGAGCATAAGCCATCTGTTCTCTTTGCATTGCCCTTGCAATAAAACTTTCTCTGCTCCAAACCCCGACATTTCGGTTTGTTTGGCCTCACTGTGCATGGGGCACACGAACTTGGATTCGACATGCCCCAGTTTTGCCAGATCCCTGAAGCCCACAATTTCTAATTGCAAGCTGACACAGAGAAAGACAAGTACTGTATAATATCACTTACATGTGGAATCTAAAAAATACAACAAACTAGTGAATAAAACAAAAACGAAGCAGACGCACAGACATAGAGGACAAACTAGTGGTTACCAGTGGGGAGAAGGAAGAGGAGAGGGGCAAGATTGGAGTAGGAGAAAAAAAAAGGATTATTATGGGATTATATGAAATCGTGTGTGTGAAAGTTTGCCAGTTGTAAAGCACTACAGAATTTAAAGAATCTTTCATTCAATGAGAAATAATATGTTTAGATTTAAAATGTGGCTGAATTTTAAAATAAATAAATAAATTGCAAGCTGATGAGATTCTCAGCATGTTCAAATACACTGAATTAAAGATAGTCCTGGGCTTCCCTGGTGGCGCAGTGGTTGAGAGTCCGCCTGCCGATGCAGGGGACACGGGTTCGTGCCCCGGTCCGGGAAGATCCCACATGCCGCGGAGCGGCTGGGCCTGTGAGCCATGGCCGCTGAGCCTGCGCGTCCGGAGCCTGTGCTCCACAACGGGAAAGGCCACAACAGTGAGAGGCCTGCGTACCGCAAAAAAAAAAAAAAAAAAAAAAAAGATAGTCCTAAAATCCCCCCAACCCCCATCTCTCAACTTCCTTGCTCATTCTACTTCCTGTCGGTGCCCAGGACTCTAACGCCAAGACCTCCATCCTAACCCTTAGCACTCTGTGGGTCCTCACACAATGACTTTGCTATTTAGCACTTGATTTGGAGTCTACCATTATATCAGCGAATGTCTGGTTTTTATTTTGTGGGGTTTCCATGGGGTTTCCCCATGTTTTGAGTTTGCAATGACCAGAGTATCAAGAGAGCTAAAGGGCTTTGGCCTTTGGAAAGGGTCGTTCTATTTCTAACTGGCTGTTTTTCGAAGGGTGTGAGTCTTCTCTTGCTCTGTAGATGATATTGGGTAAGTTGCAGCCTTTCTCTGCCTCAGTTTTCCTATATGTGATAACAGATGTTATCACTCTTACCATTGCCTCTTTCTCTGGTTTTAAGGCAATGATTAAAATCTCAGGTAGTGAACACAAATCCTGGATCCACACATCCTGGCTTTTCTGGGACAACCCTGATTTTAAATATTTTTGTCCCAATTGTCAGATCTTATGTCTGATCTGATGATCTGATCTGGGATCAGAAAATATCGTTTTGAGAGTATTATGAATTCCAGAAATGGGCTGAAATTTTATTTACTAATATGAGGATAAAAAACATTCTGATTCTGGGCACTGGCCTGGAACCTGCTTTTTGAACGACAGACGTGTCATTCTGCCCAGCAGGAATACAACTGTGTCATTGGAGGCCCTCCCTGGGGGAACTCTGGGGGACCCTCAGCATTCAGCCCCTGTCTCGTCCACCCCTGGGCACTACTCACCTGCACAGAGCATCCACAGCACGGGCTGCATCTTCCCCTCCATGGTCTTGCGTCCTCTCTGCCCCGAGTCCAGCCTGGCACTGGTGGGCCCCTGACTTTAACCAGTCTGGGCTGACTGGTTAAAGCTACGACAGCCTCTGGCCCAGTCAAGACTTCGATCCCTGTGGTTTCTCCCTTCCTGTCTACCTTTGCCCAGCCTGGCCCCCATGGCCCACCCCTCGGCTGGACTGACAGGTGAGCTCACCTGTGGGACTGGACTTCTCCACCCACTTCACCAAAGGCCCCAAAAGGAACGTTCTCCACCTTCTCAGTTACCTCCCCTGCCTTCTCTCCACCTAGCAGGTGGGCAAAGTCCTGAGCTTCTCACCATCACGTGGGCTTCACCTATAAGGGACAGGAAGTTGCCGCCTCGTAATATGAAGGGAAATGATCTCAGAGGAAGGGTTTCAAAGCCAATAAAAAAAAGGGTGTTAGTCACAATTGCTGAAATACTTCAAGGCATAATACGATCTGTTAATCTACTTCCCTTCCGGTCTACCTCACCACCACGCTAGAGACACAGTCATGAGGAAGACTGGAAATCTCTACCCCCAGAGAACTATTAATCTGGTCAGGGAGGAAGATAGTATACAAGCAACCAAGATAGTCAGAAGTACAGTGACCAGTTTGTCTCAGTTTGCTTGGAACTCTCCCAGTTTTAAAACAGAAGGTCCTATGTCCCAGGAATGTCTCCATCCCAGGCAAACTGGGATGGCTGGTCACCCTACTTAAAGAGTGCCAGGGGCTTCCCTGGTGGCGCAGTGGTTGAGAGTCCGCCTGCCGATGCAGGGGACATGGGTTCGTGCCCCGGTCCGGGAAGATCCCACATGCCGCAGAGCGGCTGGGCCTGTGAGCCATGGCCGCTGAGCCTGCGCGTCCGGAGCCTGTGCTCCGCAACGGGAGAGGCCACAACAGTGAGAGGCCCACGTACCGCCAAAAAAAAAAAAAAAAAAAGAGTGCCAGTGCTATGGGGAGCATGACCTGGGAAATGACATAGATAATGAAATTGAGGCAGTGGAAGGGGTTCCACCTTAGACCTGGGTGATCAGAACAAAATGAGTATTATGATTCTCTATTTTACAAACAGGCTTCTAAGTCTCAAAGAAGTTAAATGGGTTCTCCAAGGTCACATAGCTAAGAAGCGGTTTTCTGATTTCTAGTCCACCAGGCTAGGGACCCAGATGTCACCCTCTGTGAGTTCCGGGGTGGTGAGTAAGGGTTTAAAGGGTATAAAGAAGACAGAAGCCCTCTTTCCTCTCTCCTCCTATGTGGTCCCCTCTTTATCTGCTGCCTCTCTTAGGTGTGCTGGCTCTCCATCTTTCCCCCACCTCCCACCCACCTTCTTCTTCCCTATCCTGAGGGTCTGTCAGCTTAAGCCTCGCCCTGACTGATGCCACCCTTCAGTCCTCTGCCCCATTCCCATCCACTCTCCATCCCTCCCTCCTTCATCTCACCTCTTTCTCATACCACCTTTCATCTTCATGGAACCTTGAAGGCTGGAGATGAATTGAACTCCCATGGTTACTCAGTTGTGGTCATTCTTCCACTCTTCAACAGACACTCACTGAGGCCCTATTTGACACCCAGGACAGGGGTTTGGCCATTGGTGATGCCACGTGCCTCCTCAGAGATGCCTTCCTGGACCACTCTACCCAAAGGAGCCCCCATCCCAGCTTTGCCAAGTTTCTGCGCACAGCCCTGTTTTCTTTCTTCAAAGCTCTAACCACTATGTGAAACTAATTTTTGCTACCCCAAAACTTCTTCCACGCCAACCCCTCTGGAATTCCTTCCCCCCACCGTATCTGCTGTTGTAGTCCAACATGTGCTTTAAAGGCCAGCTCATATATTATCTGTTCTTTCATGAAGCCCTTCCTGACTTCTTCAGCCAGAAGGGCTCTCTCCCTCCTTTGAACTCACACAGCACCCTGGATCTCTCCTGGGATACTAACTAACTACATTCTGCCTTCTGCCTGAGTTATTTTTGGTCTGTGTCTCATCCCTCCTAATAAACTGTGAGCTCATTCATTTATTCAGCCAGTTGTTATTGTGCCAAGCATTATTCCACCTAGCTGGGAAGAAGCACCATTTTAAGCCTGTAATTGTGTGTCTCACTAACTTTGATCAAGTATAGAGCCTGATGCAAATAGATATCAGTGGATACTTGTGAATGTGTAGACAAATGGCTGAATGGATGGATGGAGGAATGGGGTCATTAGAGAATGTGCAGGGTGAGGGAGTGAACTATTGGGTTATTGGACTTTGCTTTGATCGTAATGATGGTGGGAATTGGTGTAGTGGAGTAGGGTGGGTTATGAGCACATTTGAAGTTTAAGAAGCTCATGGAAAGTTTATATCACCCGGGGTTGCCAATTGACCATCACCATGGGAGGTGAATGTGGGGCAGGGGTTGTGGAAGGGGAGCACAGCTGTCCGGTTCAGTATCCAGAGTCATCTCTGTCCAAAGAAGTGGAGCCCTGGTCACAAGAAATGACTACCCTTTAGTCTCACCACGCTGCTCTCCCAACATCTATCAGAGGACCCTCCCCATTCCATATATCTGGTATTTTTTTTTCCAACCCCTTCTGTGCTGACATGGGGTTAAAGTACAATTTAATGTATTCTCCTAGATCTTTGGCTTTAGATTATCTTCAGGAAGCGCTTTGAATAGCGGCCCCAGGCTGGAAGGCATGGAGAGAGAGCCCAAATCAAACTTTTTCTTTAGGCCTCTCTGTCTACGAAGAATGAACCTCTCCCAACTCTGCTGCTCATGTCAGTGTCCGGAAAATCAGGCAGGAGGGAAAGAGTTAAGTGGGGCCTGCTTTCGGGTCTGGGTCCTGAGCCTGCATTCCTTCCTCCCAGAGATCTGCCAGGCTGTGGGACCAGAAGCTAAATTTAGAAGCTGGCTAGGGTTTCCTGTGAACAGCTGTCCTGCCCCTCAGAGAAGGAACACGGGAGAGGGGAGGTCGCTCCCTCTCACTGGTCGGAGCTTCTGGCCATTTCGTCTGGGTCTCTCAGCCCTTGGGTGGCTGCCCCTTGGTGTGGAGACACAGGCAGATCAGCGGTGAGTGTGCTTCTCCCTTCATTTTGTCCTGTGAGCCCAGGACTTACAAACAAAGGGGCAGCAGCTCTGCCCTGAGTGTCAGGGCCCAGCCATGTCTGGGACCAGGTCTTGGGGGATCTCGTATTCCTTAACAGGCTGTGGGATGGCGCCTGAGCCAAAGGTAGTGGCTCCTGTGGCCTTGGTTAGAGACGCTGAAGAAGGCATCTTCCCGGTAAAGACAAAAGATGTGTGTGTGTGTGTGTGTGTGTGTGTGTGTATGTGTGTATGAGAGAGAGAGAGAGAGAGGGAGGGAGAGAGAGAGGCAAATTTCTGGTTCCCCTCACTGCTTTCTCGCTGGCATCTGTGGAAGGAGCCAAGTTGTCACTTCTTAAATCTTGCGACTCCAAGGTGGGCTGTTTACACGGCCGGGGTGTGCATCTGGGTGTCCTGATAACAGTAGCTGGATCAAGTCTGACTGGGTTTTCCTCATGGGTGATCTCCCCACCAGGCTATTAACATGTGGTGACTTTCCCATTCCTAGTTCCACTGAGGTGACATCACTGACACACCCTTTCCCCCAACAAAACCTCCAGAATCAGGTTTTCTAACTGCCCTTTTCATGCCAAACCTACAGGGGCTGACAGGCTGTCATGGCAACAAGTGGGGACCCAGAAGAGGAGCAGGTAGTCCCAAGTGAAGAGGATGAAGCCAATATGAGAGCCGTGCAGGCTCGGTACCTCCGGAGCCCCTCCCCCAGCCAGTAAGTGTGCACTTGCTGAGTTCTGCATCCCTCCAACCATGGCGGGAGTGGGCTAGGGAGCATGATGACAAGTGGGCCCCAGGGAGCCTGCAGCCACCACCTTAAATTCACTCATTCAGCAAACATTGTTGAGTACTTTTTATGTGTCACACTTTCTGGAGGAAGCAAACATGCACACAAACACACTGTAACATGGCATGGTAAGTGCTAGGATTAGCATGCCTAGGGTCTAGTGGTGGGGTGGGGGTGAGTGGGGGCGGGCAGGGAAAGGAGCACCCGGGCTTGGAATTGTCATAGGAGGCTTCCTGGAGGAGGTGATGCTGGACTTGAACCTCAAAGGATGAGTAGGAGTCTGGCAGTTCTCCCTGGATGATAGTGCTTGAGTTCCTAGGACTGAGGTTGGAAATGGGGATGGTAGACCACAGATCATAGTTGCTTTATTTTTTTCTGTTTTTTTTTTGTTTGTTTGTTTGCGGCATGTGGGTCCTTAGTTCCCCAACCAGGGATCGAACCCATGCACGGAGTCTTAACCACTGGACCACCAGGGAAGGGTAGACCATAGATCACAGATAAGAGAACGCATCAGGACAGGAAGAGAACCCTAGGACATCAGATCGTAGTGCTAAGATAATTTTGTATCTGTGATCAAGCTGTGTCTTTCAAACTGGGATTTGTGTGTGCCTGGGGGTAAGTGGCAGTGTGCCCAGGGGTAGATGACCACATGCATCTTCCTGGAGGGTCTTTTTTATTCTGTGACAAGTAATTTTAAAGTTTCTTTTACATAAAATCATTGAGGATATATGATGACATAGAATGAAAAATTTGTGTAAAATTTTAAGAAAAATCCTAAGGCATCAAAGAAATGCTTCATTGCCTGCTAAAGCAGTAGTGTATGTGCCTATGCTTTTTCTTCTGCCATAAATAATAGTAGGGGATCTGACTTCTAATCTTAGCTCTGTCACCAAATTTATGTGAAGAACCACTTTAATTCTTGAGTCTATGCCTCCTTACCTAGAAAAAGAGAAGCAAAGACTCAGAATATCTCAAGGTAGGGTTACATCAGAGTAGCTCTGATTCTGCTTGACTTTCCTTTTCCTCATGTCTCCTGGGGTCTTGCTGGCTCCTGTTTCTCAGGACTCAAACAGGCTTCCCCTTTGGAGTGAAATGGGAGCAAAGGCTGCTCATCACCCAGAGGCCAAGGCACTTTGTCCAAATGAAGCTTGGGGACTTTTACTTTAAAATTGAGCCTTATGTTCTACTTAGAAAAACTGTTAGGATTGAGAGATTTAAATCTTTTTTTTTCTTTTCCTTTTGGTACGCGGGCCTCTCACTGTTGTGGCCTCTCCCGTTGTGGAGCACAGGCTCCGAATGCACAGGCTCAGCGGCCATGACTCACGGGCCCAGCCGCTCCGCGGCATGTGGGAT